TCGCAGACGTACTGCTGTGCCACTGGGGGGCGGTAGAAATAAGAATCAAATATTAAACTAAATGAATTTCAAGTTAGTTACAAACAAACTAAACTATTTTAAAGATTTTTTTGGCTGAATAAGAGAGTTTTTAAAGATATGTCCATAACTACCACATGATGAAGTTGTAGTCAGTAAGAGGACTATCCACTGGAAGGTCTCACATTAATTTTCAATTATATTTTGAAACTCGCAAAGTGATTACAACGATTGTTAGTTAAAATTTTAAAATATGTAATCTTAAAAAAATTCAGTAAAATATTTTAACACTAAGTGAAAATGAACTCTTCAAGTTTACTTGCATTTTTATATTTAAAATATTCTATAGCATCTTATTGAAATTTAATGTGTAGGAACAGGAAGTTAAAATACCAAAATGGAAAAGCATAAAAGTAGAAGAATTCAGGAGAGAAAGTACAGATTAACAAAAATATAGATTGAAAAAATTATGTTCCATACCCTGTATCTTCTTTCTGCTGTCTTATCAAAACTGATGGATTTGGGTATTGCCCCCGTATACGCTGTTGTTGAAGATGACGAAGTGCGTTTTTGGTCTGTGTGAATCTTAAGAGTAGAATGATCACCCTCTGTTTTCGATTCAGCTAGAGGTATAGGTCCATTGGCTGTCACTGCTCCTTTAACTGTAATGTCAGTGCTTCCAGTACTGCTTCCTGAACTCGAAGAACTGGCAGAACTCAACCGACAAGAAACTTCATCGATAATTCGTTGGGCATCTTTGGTGCGCCTACGCATGCCTTTTTGTGACTGTTCAACTGATGATGGATTATGATGGGATGAATTCTCTGATCTTGGGAGTTCATGTGCTGATACTTCATTATTTTTCTCTTCCACATTCATACCTAAGACTTCACGTTCAAACTCAATAAGACTGTTTCGTGAAGGGGAACCAACTAGAGATTCTTCTGATGTGTGGGACTTGTCACTAGGAATGTTAAGAGTTTTAGTTAAATCCTGAGAGAGCAACTCTACTATGCTGGATCTCTGTCGTTGTGTTCCACTGGACTGTGATCTAGATGTGTTACTTGTTTCTTGTAAACTGTCCAACAAAGATGATCCTTGGTTGTAATCCCCTTCATCAGGAAGCTTCTTTACTGCAAAGCTTAGTCGACCTTGAAAAGAGAAAATATTTAGGGAAAAAAAAACTACATTCCTTTAAGGATATAAAATTAGATTACTCAGAACATTTGTATTTTTCTGTGTTCAGAAGAAGTACATATGTATTAATTATTTTCTGACTAAGATAAAATGAACAGCAATATGCCTCTACATTGTAGTGATATATTCATCTATAGAAAATTTAACAAATTAAATGATACAAGAAAACAAATGTTACTTAAATAAATAAAGAATGCCTTATAACACTTTTAGGTACAGATAAATCTAAAACAATTTACAAACAGAGAAACTACTTTCTCCATTATCATTCTGTCAAAAATACACAAATGTCTAATTCAAAGAGATCCCTTAATAAGTAAAACCAAATCATACATTTTTTAGTTTATCATTTGTTAATTTAATTCTACATTTTACAAAACATCTTGTGATCACTAAAATATTATTAAAGTATAAAGATGTTTCATTGACAACTTTTATTTTTAAAGTTACACTTAGCTTATTAGACACGAAAAAGTATAAAGAAGATATATATTAATCATTGATAATCAAACTTAGAACTTTTTTTTGATGAGTAAATTGTTTTAATTGAAGTGAATGAAAAATGTGCAGACTAACACTTTAAATACATTAGAACTATAATACTATGTACTGAACTATATGGGCTTTTTAACAAAAACCTAATGCACATCATATATAATAAATTCAAGGAAAGAACAATTTCTAGTTTCAATTGTACAGACAAACATCTACATGAATGGTTAGGCTTTTATAATATTTGGAATCTTCCATAGCACTTTTATACACACTGAACCTCAAAATGTCATGACAAAATATAATACAGGTCAAGTTAATGCCATCATTATAGTCTGATGGATAGTAGTATGAATAAAGGGGTGTTACGGATCTTTACCCTCAGTCCTGTATTATTTCAAACCCTAGCCAACCCTTGATGTTGTTTCAGCTTTCTTCCAACATGGGATAACTTCAAACTCATATTCTCCATAACTATCATTTTTATAATTATTATTGATTTTTAAAAATTTTTTTGAGTTGTGCCCTAATAATCTCATCTTATTGGTCTTGGCTTGTAAAAGTAGGTGATGCTGTGTTATGAGATGTTGATGAACTGACATAAAAATAACTCCCTAAAGAACCTCAGCTTACCAGTCTTGTCAAAGTAATGATGCTGTACTATGAGATGCTGACAAATTGACTTAATGTTACTGTGCTCTATTAGCGACACACAGAACCACAACCTTAAAAATAACTTCTCACTGTCTACTATCACACTGTTTGTCAGATCCATGTTTTATACAATATGTTGTTAAAAAAAAACAGGTATAAACAATGAGAGGCTGTGTAAATTTTCTGATGTTGCCAGTTTAAAATAGGTAAAGAGATTTTGGAATGCACTTGTAGCCAAGCCAATTCTCTGATCTTCTGATGGCTTATATGATAATTAATCCATTGAAAAGTGCATTTTTTCTACTTTATTGTAACATGACAATTTTTATCTGGAAGAGTTAACAAATGATGGACTAAATCAAATGGTTTAATACAGTAAAATGACTGTGTATCTATATTAAAGTTGTTTAATTTGAACATAGAAGAATTTATAATAATGGAAACTTAAATTGATACTATTTTAAAATAAACTAATGCTTGAGAATAGCTTGTTCTTACATGACAGCATCATATGATGTGAAAGTACTACATACTATATTTTTCAATGTGCTGCTAGTTAAGAGTAATCAAAAATTGATGTCAAAAAGAGAAGTTCAATGGTTTTCTTCAATCACACAGTAAGAGGTTAACCTAAATCAGCTTTTCTGAGCTATGTATTACTAACTATCAAAAAACAACACTAAATTTTCAACACTAGTTTGTGCAATGTTTCAGGCATATTTACTAACTGCAAATACTGCTACACCAAAGTCTGAAATTTCATGAAATAGTAATTAAAGTTCAAAACCATTATAATATAGCAAGTTTTTTTCTTACCCAAGCTCTGCATGCTTGCCATATTATCCTGAAGAATACCATCCGATGTGATATCACCTTCTTTTGAAGTGAAGTAGTTTGTGGAGAAGTTTCCCGTAGGGGTGAGGTCATCATAAATTCCATTATTTACTATTCTGCAAAATCAAAAGTAAGTTAAAAATATAAGATTGCTTTGTGACAAGAGCCATTAAAAATTCACTAAGTTTATGTGTTTCCCATTGGAATAAAGTTTGAACTGGAACTAAAATAGACAAATTTTTGTACTGCAACAAAATTCATGTAATACATCATTTAATAGATTAAAACTTTGGCTTTCTATTGGTTATAAATAATATAGTATTAAACATCAGAAAGAACTATTGTTAATTTTTGAAAGAGAGGATAAGACAGGTGGGTGTGGTAAGAGGGGTTTGATTTTCTATTTTGTGGCTCTGTAACTAAATAAGATTGAAGGTTATAAAAATTATTCTTTGCCCGAGCAATGAAAACATTATAATGAATAATTAACATTAAATTTCATACTTCTCGGAGGGGTGGTAAAAAATTAGAGAAGATGGGATATCTATATAGCAAATGTCACAATTCTCATACTAAGGAAATTCAGGATTTTCTTTCTTTGATAGATTGTGGACTTGAAGACGAAAGGCAGAAGACTTTCAAAACGTCATCCTCTACACTTGTGTCTCTATAATAGGCAGTTGCCGTTCATTTTACAAAGTTTCATCAGGATTTTGATTTTATTCTGCAGAACTTAAGACTTATATGATAGTAATATTTGGATTATTAGCTACATTTTTCTGCCAAGTTTATTTGTAAACCATGATAAGAAAGTAGTTTGATTAAACTCTGAATGAAACTGTGCAAAATCTTGTGACATGCTCAGAAAATGGTGCATGCAGCAAGAGGGTTAATTAGTTACTAAATATATTTTTCATTACCAAATACTAATTACTAACTAGTTTTTATCCTATATTTCAGTTGTTTAAAAGTAGTTAGCAATTACTATCTAGAAGTAAAAATATCTAATTAATAATCAGACTTATTATTAACTTCTGACCAAACCTAGTTACATATACAGATCAGAAGTAAGAATCAAACTGGTAATGAGTACAGATACTTAAATATATGGTTTTTTAATTATAAAGATTAGAATACATTGTGTCATCAATTAGGTATCGTCACTGTCAACGATATATTTTTGACTGTAACTCCAATAATATCTTTTGAGGTTTAACCAGCTTAAGATACTTAGCTAATAATATAAAATAATTTCCAAGAAAAAAAGAAAATATATATATACATATATTAAACATTATAACTAATACTGGTAATGAAAGTAACATTCAAGAATAATTAAATATTTTTTTGTATAACCAGATTTTTTATGAAAACTTACAGATCATTTTGTTGAGTAGTAACATCTACAGAAAGAGGATCAAACATTTTTGATGAATGAGTCTGACTTCTGACATGTAATGTATTTGAAGATGGATGTCTTAAGCAATTAGGTTCAGCTGCATCTGAAAGATTAAGTGATTAATAACAAACAACATTCACTATATCTCTATTATACAGCTTTTATAAGTTATTTAAACTTTTGTGGGAATAAAAAAGGAATTAGTTTAAAATTAATGTGGCTACTTAAAGACAATAGTAGTTTCATAATATTACTCAAGTTCTTCTTTCATCACTCATCTGGTGTTTTAAATGACTGGTAACATAACAGTTTTGTCTACAAACAAAATTAGAATGAAGATATGATGTTTTTTTGTCACATATAATAATTTGCAACACAGCTTAACTCTAAAACAGTCCAAATTAATATATAGATACACAAGTATTATCCAGTAAAATGGTAGCTATGTTAGTCAACATATATATATATATATACTGTATTCACTTTTCTAATACTTTTAAGTTCAATAACATACTGTACATTAGAGCATCTCTTACAACAAGGTAAAAGGCTATTTCACTATTTAAAAGAAACTTTTATTCAACTGCTAACTTCCAAGCTCTTTCAAGATCTCATCATTAGATGGAAGACAAGGGTTACACATCACTTTATTTTTACAACCTCCAAAAGTCATTATTCATTTTTATTCAATACACAGAAAGTCCATTAAGTGTGTGATAAATTTTATGATAAATGCACAAAACTGAAAATTTCTCGCATACCTTCCACAACTGGTTGGAAGCCAACTGAAGTGTGTGGTTGGTCACCAGATAGTACGGTCACATGAACTCTTGGAGGAAACAATGGGGATGAGGTTGATCTAGACGGATCTTTCAGTACACGATCTGGTGATCGTAACAAGTATTTATTCATTGACTTAGCAGTTTCACCAACAACTAAAAGACTTCTGCTGACTGTAACAAAAAATTCTCTAAGTGTTTTCACATAGTTATTTACAAGTATAAGTTACTAAAGGAAAGGAATGTTGACAAGGAATATACAAACGAACAAAAACTACAAACCAATAATCTCATATTTAAATCTTTAACCCTTTCATGTCAACATACTTACATTTACGTTACATAGCTCTTGTCAAATTTCATTATAGAAGTAAAACTAGTGGATGGAAATTGTTTGAAACTTGAGAATTTTCCTAAAAGCATGTCATTTCAGAAAAATATTTATTTTTTCTACTAAAAATTCGTTATTTATTCATTACTTAATTTCACTCAGACTCTGTGTAATTCAAGTACAAGGTTATTTCACATTAAGTATAAAAATACCTTTTTATATCTTCAGTTTTCAAATTTCATTTCAATAATCTCAAGAACCTCCAAAAAGAATGTCAAAAGTTTTGTTTTTAAGGTAAATGTTTACATTTCCATTTTCTCTATCATATCACACTAACTATAGTTATTATCAACAACATACAGTGCAATGAAATGTTCAAAATTAAGAAATTTAAATATGTACATACCTTTTAACTCTTCATTGAATAATCTTAAAATTTCTTCTTTTGGTTATATTTGTAATTTCAAGTCTTTACCTTTTCACTTATAATTTATTTTTAATGTTTTATTTTCATTTACTGTCCTTCATGACACATGCCAATGGGTGCCTTTGGGGTAAATTACAGATCTATGGCAGAGATACACAAGCCTTTGGCAAAATGTTTTTGCACTTGTGTTGTAAATTAACCATCCCAAATGAGGTGAAGTTTGGGTTATATTATGAAACTGTCAAACCTTTCAAATATGAAGTTTAAAACATAAATAATACATAATTAATTAAACTCAAAAGCAAAACTTAAATACTACTATCTAACTAATATGTATCTAAGAAAGAAACATCGTTAAGTGCTAGCAAGGATGAAATCAGCAAACAATACTTCAGCTGTTTGATGTACTTGGTAATGAATATTGTGTGCCAGTTTTAAAATGACAATTGGAAGATTGTAGTTTAAAATGAGCTCTTTCTATTGGTTATAAACATGCCACTCAAATAAGTCTATCATGCTTGAAATAACATGTCCAAATCAAAAGGTGGGTGTGGCTACTGTAAAGGGGTGAGCAAATTTTTTTGTTGTGATATCTGAGTTGATCTGAAGGAGTATGAATTAAGAATGAATTACTAGCACTGTATGAGTAGATTCAGTCTAGACATACATGTACACTATAAATGTGCTATTCATGTAATAGAGACAAAATGTTACGATCTGTGATTGCTCATGCATTATATGACAACAAAACTGAAGTATTTTTATTTAATGGTATCTTTTGAAATAAAGGAATTCAAGTTTATATAATATAAAACTTTGAATTATAACATATTTGGTAATGTTAATTTCATTAGAATACACTGATAGTAAAGTTTTTTCAATTTTTAAGGTCACTCAGTAAAACCTTGACTTGAGCAGAAAGGAATTTAGAGTACAGTCAATGTGAAAGGGTTAATGCGTTGGCAATTAAATAATTGTGATGGTACTCCTTTTTTAGTTATTGATATACACACACACACAAGTAATCAATGACCAAAACTCATGCAAATTTACACAATTCTCTACCATTAGTCTATTTACCAAAATAACACAAAGTTATTTGGTACAAACAATTAGCTTTCCATAAAATTATATCAAATGACTGAAACACTATCTATTGTAACAAATAAACTTTGAAAACATTTTTAAATATAAAATAGAATTTATTTACATTAAAATGAATATAGACATATGGCATAAGGTTTCAGTTATTCACAGATGAACAGCTACAAAGTTTCATTGCAGAAAAGGACAGAAAGATGACTAGAAACTTAAGAAAAGGAGCTGTAAAAATGGGGTGATTGTGAATGACACTGGAAATCTCACCAGTATTCTAGGCAAATTTTACGCTGAATTTAGACAGGAGCATTCTTTATATGCTTATTGTAACTTAGAGGTATGTCAAGGTACATTTTTTGCTATTTATTGAATTAGTGTGGCCCAATCCTCTGTTGATTATTTCTTATACAAATATTATAATCATAACAAAATTGGCTTATGCTTTTCATAGTCATGTTACCAGTAGTGACATATATAGATGAATAGGCCTATAAGTTGAAACTGAATATTCCAAGATATTTTTAGTTACAATAATAATAATAATCATAATATGGAAAATTTGTTGATTTATTATTGATTCTTAAAATGAGATTAAAATCTTTAATGAAGTGTTAAACTTTAAGATTTACATGTAGGCTACATATACTACGTGACAGTGCTAATTAATCCGATTTTAGTAAAACCATAAATGTACAGGGGGAGTAGAATGAAAAAAATCATTGACTGGTGATTTTGGGCAACATACCATTTATTGCCCTCATAAATAGTCAACAATTGTTCATTACCAAATCTTATGTCCTTTCTAGCTTTTAATATTTTTACCCTAGGTATAGCAGTCAAATCTGCTATGTGGTTATTGGCTTCACAACTTAACAAAATCTTAATTTCTTTTCAGGCACATTGTGCTACTATATTAAGAGTAAAAAACAAAAATGACATTTTTTGGCACAATGAAAGATCAAACCTTTATTAAAAATTTCAGCCAACTAATTTCAGTAGCAAAGTTTTTTTTTTTAGTTTTAATGAAACTTTAGTACATATGTATCAAGAAAAACAATAAAGGCATCCATCATTCTTTACCAGAAGAGAGCCAAAGTAATAAGAAATGTATGTTTACATAAATACATTTTCCAAAATATATGATTCTAAATTATACTGTGTATGTCATACAGACATTACAAAAGTACAATTCAACTTGAAACATTTTTTTGAGTGTTCATACAAGAATGTTAATATGACACAGTGCTTTTATGAACTGGTAAGTGTTCTTGTTTGTCAGTCAACTTTAAAAATATATATCTCAATTATAATTAGTGTGCTATAAACTACTAGAAAACATTCATATAGCAACAGAGCAAAAACTACAAATTTAGACACTAACCCAATTCTACTTCATTATAAAACAATCCTGATATCTATTTTAAAGATTATGGAATCTCAATTTATTTAAGTTTTACAAGGGAGGGGTCTGTGTTTTGAAAGTCTTCTGCCTTTCGTCTTCAGATTCTGAAGACGAAAGGCAGAAGACTTTTGAAACGGCGTCCTCTACACTTCTGTCTCTACAACAGGCAGTTGCCATCCATTCTACAATGTTTCATTGTAAAAGATATAGTTGTGATAGTACCATAATTATCTTGCTTTTATGAACCAAAATTATGAAAAGGGACATACACAGTTATAATAGTACAATAGCAATGGTACCAACTGAAATTAAGATAAGGAAATACACTCTATAATTCTCAAACTTATAGGACTTAAATTTACTGAAGGATAAAATCAGCCACTCAACTGATGTTAAAGCATTAAAAGATTTAGCTTCTGACATAGTTCTCCATTTATAACAACAAATTTTTTAGATCAAGTGCTTTTTAATATCATCACCTTTTTTTTTTTTACTGACCTTGCTAAGAGAGCATCCTGGACAAATAACTGATGAATTAAATTAAATGTTATCAAAAGTAATTTCAGTGTTATTGATCAGGGATCTGTATATAGATGATAAATGTTTGAACAAAAACTCATTTAACCTTCAATCCATGGGCATCTTTTTCTGCATATATCGCAAGGTTTTAGTGAGTTACATTCAAAATATAATTCAACTACTTTCTTTTTATGGTATACAAATAAATATAGCATAAAAATGTAGCTAATAAGACATACAGTAATGGTATACAAGTTTTAAGTTCTTACTTTTATAAGGTAATATTTAAAAATATCTAGAATTTCCCCTAGTGTGAGAATTGAGACATTTGCCCCCTAAGGCATCCCCTCTTCTCTAATTTATTTACCATACCTCCACCCTCCAAGAAGTACAAAATTTAATGTAAATTACTTAGTATAATATAATCATTGCTCAGGCAAAGCATAATTTTCATAGCCTTCAATCTTATTTGGTTACAGAGCTATGAAATAGACAACCAGACCCCTCTTGCCATGCCCACCTGTCACATCCTTTCTTTCAGAAATTGCGGAGTTTTCTCTGACAGTCAATGCTATAGTATTTATAACCAATAGAAAGTAAAGGCTTTCATCTATCAAGTGACATATTATATAATGTTGTTTTCTATAAAGAGAACTGTCAATTTCACTTTCAGTTCAAGCTTGATTCCCAAGAGAAACACATTGACTAGCTTAGATGAATTTGTAACAGCTCGTCACAGTTTGAAAGTCAGAAAAATTGTGATAGTTATGGGACATTGTCTGTTCTTTGCATATTAGTATTCTGTGTTCTTTGGTGCATTATTCTATTAAATAAATAATTATTTAGTGCAGCACTACCATTAGTGTTAAGTGTCATCAACAGTTGACAACGAGCATACCTTGTGAAAAAATGTTATATTTTTATTACTTATTTCACCTAATCTAACATCAAAAGTTTCCTAGTTTTACACTTTAGTTAGTTTTATAATAATAGATATAGAATACACATGGAAAAACAAGAAAAAAGTATGTACATGGGTCTTCTTTTTTTTCTTTCTTTTTTTTTGCGAGTAGCTCGTGTCTAATGTAATTTGATAGTGTAATGTGAGCTGCACCTTTGCCAAGTGATTTACAACTTATAATGGCATGAACAGTAGTTAGACAAGGTTCAAAGGGAAATCAAACAGTAAAAAATCAGGTATAAATACATGTATACTGTTATGAGTTTAAAGCTATTTAGGATAAACAAATGTAGTTTCATATTACAATTTGAAATCATTCTAGAAAGAAAAAAAATGGTAATTTAGATTGATTTTAATTTTTTTTGGTTATGAGGTCAGTAAAATTGACCAACCTTGTATAAGTTAGAGTAGAGAAAATAACAGGTAAAATACAAAGTTTCACTGAAAACAAAAACATTTTAAATATATTTAGAACGTTTCAGAGATTACACATATAAAATTTGAGATTTTTCAGACCAAGTATTTTTAATCTTAAAGTGGAAAGGACTTAGCACTTGGATTAGTGTATAGAAATACTACATATATATTCACAGATAAATCATTAGTAAAAATACTTCATTAATAAATCTGATTTTGGGGTACGAAAAATTTGTAATGTTTACTAAAAGTCTGCTAAATTTTTGTGAAGATAAAAGTGTAGTAAAGGTTATAGTATGGAAACTATAATGAGTACAGAAGTACAAAATTAATGTTAGTTTAAAAAGTAAGAAACTTTTCCCAAATTTTCAGAGCACACAGGATTTAGTTTGATCAAACAGGAATAGATAGATTTAAACATTTTACAGAATGTGTTTAATGCACAATACTAAAACACCATGTATCTTTTCAGCTAGTTACTTCATCTGGCAAACAAACACAAAAAACATTTGAGAGGGTATTAGTTTAAGAAAACTCCCAATATTTATATACATTACTTTAGTTTGGAGTAGCATTTCCTTAATGATGTGATGATCAAGCTGTTCTGGAAGTATCATAACCTCAACTTAAAGTCCATAAGTGAGACAGAACCACTATCTTTCTTCTCAAAGCCTTTTTTTAAGGATATGAACAGTGTCGAGCTATTTTTAAAGGTGCTGTTAATTTAATTTTCTTTAAAAAGCAGAGAAGTATGCAATGAGTGTGAAAAATTACACACTTTACAATTTTTAAAAAAGTCATTTGGTTTCAACGTACCAGTGTATGTTTCACTGTCATCAACATCACGTGGATCCGATCTTGGAACATCTACACCAGAAGAACTTTCATTTTCAATTTCAGACCGAGCAGTGTCATCTGACCGAGCCACACTAGCTGTATCATCAGTATCAAGTTCAAGGAGTCGTTCTGTATCAGATGCCAAGACATCCATACTCCAGGCATCACTCTGACTGGCTGTTTCAGAAGTATCCAATATTCCTAGTGGCTGTTGGAGACAGAAATCAATAGCTGAACTTTTCCATTCACCTTGTATATTTGAATAATTAAAGGATAAAGACCTAACACTCTCAGTAGGTTGTTGAGAATACAGCTAAATACTTTGAAATTAGAATAACTTATATTTTTTTATGCAAATTTTGACTTATTAAAATGTATTATTCTACACAACTAACACACAGAAACAAGGAGTTAAATAAAAACAAACCAGGATCCTGCTTTATATTTACAAGTTTTATTCTTCCATAAAAATCTTACAGCATCCATGATTTAATACAATTAACAAAAAACTATTTTTAACAAAGCATGAATATATGGATACATGCAAATGTACACCTATGATACTTAGATCATTAAATTTTTGGCTCTGTTATACAGAACTCACCCCAAATCTACCTTAATGCAAAAATATTACAGGGAAATAAGGCTACTGAAGGATAAAACTGAACAAAGTGATGTAATGTTTAAATGTTGACAATGAGGTATGGGTCTACTGAAAACAGTTTTAATCAAGATGTTAAGGATTATGTTTCTTTTGGATAAGATTTGTAATAAGTTTTAACTAGAATGTTAATATTTTCCTACACTGAAAATGCATTTCTGATAGATTCTTACTTCCACTTACATAATAGCTTGTCTTGACTTGTACTGCCCTCTATATGCACAAATTTTTCTCACCACTAGCCATGATGCTCTCGCCTACCCTTATGTATTTTCACGTGAGGCAGCTGCAAGATAGAGTGCAATAACCCTCCACCAATAGCAGTGCAACAAAACTCTTAGTACAGCTGACTCCCTCTAAGTACCTTAATTTCACTTTGAGATTGAGCAACATAAAAAAAAAAAAGACACCGGAAGTGGGAAGGAAGAATGGGTAGTGTGAGTAGAGGTAAGAATATATTTTCACTGGAAGATTGTGAAGGAGGGAATGCATTGGAGAGTCCAGTGAAATTCAACACTGAAAACAATGCAAAGGGTGACCACAAAACCTTATTTTAAAAAGCAGACCATTCTTGATACAGCCAAACCAAGAAGTGGCAAGGATGGTCAGCAATCCCCTTCTGCTTTATTCATGTTAGTCCATGAATGTATGGTCCACGACAAACATATTTATGACTCAAAACACTGCAAGGAAAAACCTAACAGCAGTTTTATGGAACACCCCATCTCTATATTGGATGTTTTTGACCTGAATGATCACACAGTGTGGGTTTAAGAATAAGTATACCTGGCTCACCCCTGAGCAGGATCCATATATATGCGAGAAAGGCCCCTACAAAAAATAATTGTATAAAAAGAGCCCCTATCTAATCACAAAGAAACTAAAGAGCTCAAGATGGTGACAGGAGTTAAAGAGTAACATGTAGAGCAGGAAATGGCCAGATGATGCAGATAATGTGAGATAAATGTATGGGGAATGGTCCACATGCTGGCAAACTATATACTCTAAAGGACAATGGAATTGGGCAGCCAGGGATATGATAGGGTGATGGATTTAATGGAAGGAGACAACAATCATCAGGAGAAAGTGAAGAATAAGCAAGACAACTCAGCTGGCAAATCCAGCCTGTAAGGGTAATAGCAGAAATATCACATGAAAGGAAGAGGAAGGGGTTCCTATGAATAAACAATAAGGAACCACAGAAGGGAAAAGTGTGAGCCACATAACAGCAGAGATCTCAGACAGGACATAAGAAATGATCCAGACTGGAACAAAGATAAAGATGAGAAATGTAAGGAAGAGAAATGGGAGTGAAGGCAAATTCACTTTCATGTGCAGCTGAAGTTTTGGGCAGGACATACCAATCCTGGTAGAGGATGACCAAGGACCTGTGATATAATGCATGAAAAACATTGAAAGCAAACAAATTTGAATGACAACATCCACACACCAAGAGGAGGAGGAAAAAAGTTTAAAAAGAGTTGATAGAAGTAACAGGAAGACATGAGCTCAAATGGAGGAAATGTGAAGGCATGGAGGGTAACACTGAGACTCCAATCAGAGATGGCGGTAGGACACAGGGGACAGCAAAGGCAGAGGGAACAAAAGGGTTAAGACCAAAGAAGTGAAGATACAGTGAAATCTTGTGAACTGGAAAGTGGTTGACACTGCCGTGCAAGAATCAGCAATTATGGATACCGACAGTCCCTTGTCAAAAACCCAGATAAGGAAGGAAATTAAGTGCAGGAGAGTAGGATGGGACAGAGTAAAACCATGATGAGAAGACCAATGGTGGTAGACCTACCATTTACTTTGTTAAACTGACAGGGAGGAAGGGCACATGGAAAGAGAAATTAAGGAAGCAACTTTAAGGGATAGTCCAGCTTGTTTGGCAAAGGATCAAACAAAAGCCATGAGTGAAGCTGAATTGTGGGAAGAAAAGGATGTAGTGTGCCCAATTGAGGTTATCTGATGAGGGTGGGGGAGAGGTTAAGAGGAAGATAAGGTGTCAGCCAAGGTGCTGCCGCCAAGAGGAGTTGACACGGAGTGGTTTATATGACTGTGAGTACACAAGGAAGAAGACAGATGGGAAGATATGTATAAAAGTAATGCCCACCTCCCAATTCTGACTGAGGGCATTGACAGCTACAACCAAAGTATGAGAAACAGGAAACCAAAACCTGGGAAGCTTGGAATTCAGATAGGTGGCAAATGCATCCAGTTCATGAGTACCACACCGTAAACACAGCCAAACCAAACTCCTGTGCATCGATGGACCACTCTTTGGAGAGAATCTTGTTGGGGTGTGATAAGTGATCAGATTCAGAGCATCTGGCATATGACATGCCATCAATCGAATATGATAACTGTGGGTCCAAAACAGGAGGTCCAACATGTGGAAACAAAGTGCCCACTTGCCAAGTGATGCACAAGACAACTGTAGAGTTGTTGGAATGGATCATAACTGACTGGTTCCAGAGAGATGAAAGGAAATGAACTAAAGCCCAAAGAACAGTGAGCAGTTCTAAGAAACTGATATGCAGAGATGACTGCAATACAGACTAACATCCTGAAATCTCCTATGTGTCCAGATATGCATCTCTGGATGATGATGAGGAAAAGGAACACCCACTGGGGTGGTGTCTTTGTTCAACCACCAGGCAAAGTCCACATGAATAAAAAAAGGGAATTGGATAGGGGCATCCAAGGCATCCCAAACGAGATTCCACTGATCTTGCAAAGCCCTCTGAAGAGGTCACAGGTGGGCTCAACTGAATGTAATGAGGACCTCCAAAGAAGCCCACGTCCTCAAAAAGGTTAGAACCTCTTGTGCAGTTGGAGAAGGAGAGGAGGAAATCTATTAGCACAAACTCCAATATTCGGTGAGGGTGAAGAACAAGATATTGGCCTAAAGGTGGCTCACTTACAAGGGAAGGGGAGGAACCAAAAGAAATGGAAGACAAGGTCAAAACGTAAGAAACCTGATTGATCAACTTCAGAAAGAAGAAGAAAGCCTGGGTGCATCCACCAGATCTATACATGACTGAGTGGCACAGGATGGGGGAAAGAAAAATGCAGTCAAAATCATCATCCTCTTGTTCAAGTACCCCTGAATAAGGCAAGATAAGATAATCTTCAGGTGAACCAGAAACCCACATGAAGGTAGCCAACTCCCAACAAACCAAGGCCATAATGTCTTCTGCCAACAACTGCAGACCCAGAGACATTGTAGATGAAATAAGGTTAACGGCAGTAGGAACAGCAGTATTCATAGTTGTAACATTAAACTCTGAATTCATAATAACTATGAGTGGATATATAAAAAAAATCCAAGTATGAAGCTTAAAAACCCACATAAGAAATTTAAAGTCACGTAATATTAATGCGTACAAACGAAAATGTTGAGAACTGAAATGTAGCAAACTAATAAACTAAGTTCTCCAAAAAAAATACAACAAGTAACTGATTGAAATTCTATGAGTAAAGCTTGAGCAAAAAACATGTCTAAACACCACGAGTGCCAATCGAGAAGTGAAGCTGATCTAAGCTGCATAAAGGGAGTCAGCTGTGCTAGGAGTTGTGTCCCACTCCTATTGGTGGACGGTTGTTGCATGCTCATTTGTATGCTATCACTCCGCTGTCTCATGAGAAAACGTGCAAGGGTAAGTGAGAGCAGCAAGGCTAGTGGTTAGCAAAAATTTTTACATATAGAGAGAAGTACAAGTTGAGAAAAGCTATTATTTGAAAGGAGGTAAGATAGCATATCAGAATTAATTAGCTAGAATACTGTCACAGCTTTCTTGATTCTTCATATATCTACCACATTACAATCACAAGATAATGCCTCCTTAGAGAAATGAAAGTCCAAGGGCAACCAGTACAGAAGTGCACAAGAAGCATGTAATCCAGTATTGTGAAAGATCTCTTTTATTTCAAAATGTTTTCTAAAAAACTGTCAAAACATTAAAGGCAATACAAGTGCATGATTATAGCTGCTTAAAAGCCCGATTTAATGATGGATGCACTTTATAAACATACAAGAAAATATACGAGTATATATTAAACATGTATGGTACAACTTGATTAAGGTTAGGATCTCGCTTACCATAGTTAAAATGCAGATCTTTAGTTTTGCATAACTTATTCATGTGATGATTATTCAACAAGGAAACTTAATGACTTTATAACTGAAAATATATACTATGTTTTATAAGGTACATTGCCTAAAAAAACAATTGTAGAATAATAAAATCTGTTTTTATTTTAATCAAAATTCATATATGGTTTCACATTTTTTTTCTAAAGTGGTTAAACCTATTGCCATTTCCTTTTCTTTAAGGATATTTATGTTGTCAATATAATGATTTAAAAAGGAAATAATTTTACAGTGAAGAACTTTTTCTATTGGATTTGTTTTTACAGAATTGATAAAAAATAAATGTATGTGTGAAAGTGAGTAATGGGATTTCTTGTAATTTTTTCTTTAGTGTAAACTAATACTTTTGGTAATAGTCCATATATTTTATTGTTTGCAAAAATGGCTGTGGATAGATGTGTGTATATATATATATATAATACACTGACCAGTGGAATTACGTAAACCCTTCAAATTTTATCTTATCCACGAACCAGAGCTGTATGGAATAGCCACAAGGCACCAATAAATTTAATATATGTTGCCATTGCTTTGTCTTTTTCATGCCTTACCACCCCTTTAGTAAAGCACACTTCCCTCTCAATATGTCTTCTGCTGTCTTTTTTATTCAGTGTTATCAACTAAAGCAAATGGTTGAGAAAAATTTAACAAAATTAAATCATATGAAATAATCCTTGCTGTCAATTTATTCTTACCCACGTTTCAAATTTTCGAATTATTATACATTGTCCCTGACTAATGAATTATTATACATTGTCCCTAACTAATGAATTATTATACATTGTCCCTAACTAATGAATTATTATACATTGTCCCTAACTAATGAATTTCAAGAATCCATATTATTTTACTCATTTCAAAAATCAGAAGTAGAAATATAATACATTACCAAATACACAACCACCCACTGATGATTAGAAGTAGAAATATAATACATTACCAAATACACAACCACCCATTGATGATCAGTAGTAGAAATATAATACATTACCAAATACACAACCACCCATTGATGATCAGTAGTAGAAATATAATACATTACCAAATACACAACCACCCATTGATGATCAGAAGTAGAAATATAATACATTACCAAATACACAACCACCCACTGATGATTTACTAATCAAGTATAACAAATGTTGCATTTTAGTTGTGTGTAACTTGAGAGGTAAGTTCAGTACTATTACATTACTCTGGTCCACTGATATCAATCAGATATGTCTAAATTTTAATATCCACAAAAATGATGATTATGGAATATATACAGTTTCTTTAACAACAGCAAAGGAACTAAATAAACACAAGTGAATAAATACAACAAAATCTGTATTCTCAATCATTTTGTTTATACTTATTTACCAGAATGACTGATTTATTGGTTTATTAATTAAATTTTTTTGGAGTAAAACAAAACAGGTACATATCTTTCCATACATTACATAAAAATAAAGAAATCATGAACTTATACTTGAAAGTACAGTTTTACAATTAAATAATAAATGTTTACTAAGCATAACAGAAGCAACGTTTTCAGCAATACAGTAAACTGTAAATTACAAAATACATTTGTTTTGTGTATGATTTTACCTGCCTTTTTCACAGTCAGAATTTGTAAGGCAGATAAAATAAGATACAAGGAACAGTTTTTTGTCAGCAAGCAAAAGTTTTAATATTTTAGAATTATTTGCAATTTAAAATAGATTTTAAACTACATTTAACATGTGTCTTTATGTTCTTCCCACTACTTTTCCTTTTTCCCAGTCATGATATAATCTGGATCATGAATTTTCATGTTTCTAGGCAGTGTTGGATCAATCATTTCTGGCAAGAAACAGTTCATATAAAATTGTTGAAGTTCTGGAAACATTTTCCCCAGAAATTATAATCCTTTTGGATCCTTTCAATAGTCATACCCTTTGGAGTCCATATTACAAAGTCGTAGTAGTTTTGGTTTAGGATATGTAGCTGCTCTTGAACCTTGTAATAATAATTGTGTTGTTTTTTTAAATTTAGCTGTCCATCTTTTGTTGCTGTACAATAAAATTGAGAAAAAGATCTTGCTACTTTAAGTCGGGTTAACTTCTTTGCTTTTTTCGAGCATTTAATTTCTATTACTTTTTCATTTCCTATAAGTCCATCAGAAGAAATGCTCATATATCCATAATCTTTATCTACAACTAGCCCACATGAAATAATGCTATTCCCTATGTTTTCAATGTATTCCTGTTTGACTATAAAATTGTAATGACGGCCATATTCTGTAGCTTCTGAAAATAAATTATTTGTATGTAAAAGCCTGATGTAATTGATCACATCTTGCACATTGCTCCAAAGATAGATGCAGTAAGACATTTACATCATTCTTCTTTCCACTCAAAACTTTCAGCTTGTTTTCATGTTCTTTTCACTAGGTGCGATATTTCACAATCAGTTAACTGTAGTTCTTTGATAATTTCATCTTTCCTCCTGTTCAGCATTTCTTCACACACATATCTAGTTGTTATGCTTGTGGACCATAGTTTGAATCTCCCAGAGGTTGAAATTGTTCCTTTCTAGACTTGGCACATTTCGGTTTTATTATGGCCTTCATCAAGTTTCCTCTGCATGCAGCTCCTTTCTTTTCCAGCTAGAAACATATTCTTTACAACAATGGAAGGGCTTTTAAGTGTTAATCTTTTCAAATCCCATGAGTGGCATAGACCTGCATCATGGAAGCATTGATTATACGATCTGCGCTGAGATCTGTTGTTCTTCCCTCCAATAAATTTACAAACAAGACACACATATGTCTCTGCCCTGCTTGTAGTTGCATCGGTTAGAAATATTTCCTTACCAAATAATTAACAGCATCCATTATTTTTGCAAACATAGTTTGGCAGTTTTATAGCAATATTTTTCTCATTAACTGATTGGCAATATGTTATACAACACTTCAATTGGTCACCAAAAACAGGTAATGGGCCATTCAGTAGTTTTTCTCTCAGTTCTTTTGGTGCACCACCCCTAATTTTTATTCCATGTGATTGTTGCTCTAAACTATGTAAAACATATTAGCAAGAATTACATGTAATATCACATAAAGAGCTGAAATGTTATTTCATATGGTGCAAACACAAAAGTAAAAATATTAATAATTTTATTATATGCACACATATTGTTATAACAGTCAGATTTATATTTTTTACTTCAGATTTACTCAACAAATTATGAGTTACACAAATGTATGAAATACCTGTGACTCGAGTGTTACTTGTGAAGAAACATCTGACTGCTCAACTGTCTCTGAATCACTTGCTAAAACATCTGTGCTCCATGTGTCACTAACCATTGACTTTGTTTCATCACCTGAAAATGTTATTTTTTGAAAATATATCAAAATCATTCAGTCTCACTGTAACATCTATAATTTAATAATAGATCAATAAATAAAACCTACAAGCATTCTCTCAATATATACTTTATGACTTTAATAACTTTCTGTTACACAGCAGAGAATTCAGATCAAAGGAAACTTGCTACTTAACATACAGTAATTGAAAAAAGTTTTCTTAGAAACTTGGTTTATGAAGTCACTTTGGTATGCACAGAGAAAAAATGTATAACTTATACTATTTATGATTAAACATTAATAACAAGAATTACACTACAAACTCATTTCACATGTAAAAGAATGGTATATGTTACACATTAGCATATTCATTATTCAGCTCACAGACTAAAATATCGTTAAAGGTGGCAGTACTGAACTGATGAAACAAGGTATTCTAAACTTCATAATTAAGATTGTAAGAACAATATATTTAATTATATATAGTCATTACCAAGTTCTTGTAAATTAAAATTAAGTGGATGTGTAATATTAATCTAGTTTTATCTTTAATTCTCTCAAGTAACTAACAACTAAGTGAATAAAGGATTTATTAATGAAATACTTTTTTACAGTGAATTGTGCATATATGTGATCCTTTGTACAAATATGTGATCAAAATATACTATAATGAAGATGTGCTGAACAAAAATAAATTGCTTCCAGCAAAAGGAGAAAATTTATATCCACTTGGGCATTATCAAAATGTGAATATAAGCACCCATTACCTAATGTGCTTTTATAATGATTATTAGGTATTCTCACTTGTTTTATTAGCTCTGGGACTTTTTTCTTTTAGCTATAACTTGTTATAAGTTAATTTCTGTTCATAAAATTTTATATGGCATATATTATGAAGCATATACAGTGTATATACATTGCAAAATCATGATCATCACAATGTCCCTTCCTTTTATGAAATCTTGAAATTTTGTAATTATGTTACACGAGTTTAGTACCTTGCACTGAAATATATCTAATTCATTCCATTTTAATGATTACTAGATTATTTGTTCAAATTTCTAAGATGCAAAAGTTTTGAAATAAACATTATTAGATGCACAGATATCATTCGTTTAACAATGTAACAACCTAAAAAATAGATAGCATTCTTTCAACAACATAACTTAGAGAAGAGAGATCCTTCAAACATATACAACCTAAAGAAGAAATTCAAAAATTATTAAAACTGAAGAATAAATATGTGAAAAAAAATTTGCCAAACCTAATACATAAAACATGTTTGCTTGAAATATCACTTCATAAAAGTGTTTTAATTAATTGTTTTTGTTGCTTACTTGCTCATCTAATACAGTTCAACAGAAAAAGCAATTGGATCTTAACTTGTTCAAGAAATTGTCTATTCTTGATCTTTTACAGTTTGATATAAATTGGGCACGAGGTTTCATTTCATAGTTTCCTGCAAGTATGTAGTAGACACTTTTGATATTTTGTTTGTTCTGGGAGATGAACTAAAGTATTTATTCATTAAACATAGTAAGTATTTTGTACTACAAAATACTTACTATGTTTAATGAATAAATACTTTAGTCATCTCCCAGAACAAACAAAATATCAAAAGTGTCTACTACATACTTGCAGGAAACTATGAAACTACAAAATACTTACTATGTTTAATGAATAAATACTTTAGTTCATCTCCCAGAACAAACAAAATATGAAAAGTGTCTACTACATACTTGCAGGAAACTATGAAGCACCCTGTACAAACTAAGTGTAAAAAAAAGAATGCATTTTCACTAAACTTACCTTCAATCATTGGCATAATCTCAAATTTACAAAACTTGTCCTCAATATCTTCTTGGTTTTGCTTGCGAGTCGTAATAGGTAAGTTGAGTGGTTGCTGTCTTGGTTCTTCCTCGACTTGGGAAGAAGGAGTATCACGTCCACTAACATTTGGTGTATCCCTTCCACTATGAATTTAGTTTTTTAATATTTAGTTGCTAGATATACTAAGTAAATTTTACTATAAGTAAAATTTAACATAATCAAATTCTCTCTTTTATATATTTTGGGGTGGAGACACTCAGACTTGAATTATTAGTTACCGAAGAAACTGTGAAAAGCAAAGTGATACATAATATGACATTAAAAGTAATGAACTGCAAGATTTCATAAAATGTCCTGTATCTGAAGATTATAATTCAAACTTTCTAATAATGAAATTATCCAACTGTTAAATTAGATAGTAATAACTCTATTAAGGTATGGTGTTATTTCAAATGAAGAAAAGATATGTTAAGAAAGAGGATGAATTATGTATAGTTAATAACAAAATGAACTGTAGTGTCAAGTTAACATTTTCACACAAAAGAAATCTGGTACTGGCTATAGAAGTTTCATTTAAGCCAAACTACTGCACTGTCTTTAGAACATAATTCTTTACACCTCTTTATACAAAATCATGTAATAAACTACAAGACATTTCTTATTTTAATCAAGTAAAACATAATAATTATTGGTACGATATGTTGATACAATAAGATAGTCTGTCAACTGAATCTTAATAACAGTAAAATGAAGCATCTTTAATAGTTGTAGAGTTGGACTTTATAATGGACTGCTTCTGCCCGTTTCTAGAGTGCAACAATGTTTTGGCTTCTATACTGAGGCCTTCTTCAGGATGAAGTCAAAGATATTAAATGCATATTATTTTTTTAATGAGGTTCTGTGACAGAGTTTCTTCAACCAAAAGGAAGGCACAGCACAGTTATGATATTTGATTTTGACCTAAATAAAACCTCAGTATAAATTATTCCGCTATAGAAATAGGTAGGAGTGATCCGTTACATCCAAGCTCTGCCATGTCTACCCTATCTAAAATGCCCTTGAAACATCTCTAATATTTTTATTGTAATTTTTGGGTAAAAATATTGAAACAACACATGCACAGATTTATTAAACGAGTTTCTAAATAATAATACTAAGTTTGAACTTTAAGTTTCAGTTTCATGATGCTGGTTACATTTGACAGCCAGAAAAATCCATGTTATTGAAACATTTACCTGTTTAAACAAGTTATGACATCAGTTTATGGCAAGTTAACAATATTCACAGGATATTTTAACATTAATTGACAAAACACTGCCACTGTACTTTGATTATGAAAATTTCCTCAAAGTGTATTAATTGAAAACAAGCCATATCATGTAAGGAAGTTTTTACTTTCTTTGTAATACTTGATATATTTTAATTTTAATAAAAATGAATTACTTTAGAACGAAGTTATAAAATTGGAACAAAAAATCACCTGACATTTGCTGAAACCATGTCTGATAAATTGTCATTTTCATTCTCATTTTCTAGATCAAGTGATGATGACACTGAATGATTGGATGCTGCTTCAGAAATAGCTTCTAAATTATCACTTGTTCCTGAAATTATGATTTTTAAAAATCTTATAGTAAATGTTCAGAAAAAAAAGAAAAAAAAAGGATTTCCTGTACACATTTTTTCATTAAAATTTTGAATACACTTAATTTATTAATTGTAAACAAATCTACCTATTGACTCCTGATCCTGAGAGAGAGAGAACCTGGTTCTTTTCTCTGGACCACTAGCTACACTGTAAGCTTCTTCTCCAGTCAAGCTGTCTAGATTCATTCTCACACGATTCTGTTTCTTTTGTTGCTCCAATCGTAAAACCTAGGCAAAATTTGAGTGGACTATTAATGAAAAATCTTAACACTGTCTCTATAATAATTTACTAACATGTAAAAAAAAAGACATTTAACTAAATGTCAATTCTGAAAAATTCCTGAACACAAGCATGTCAAAAATTCTGATCTAAATAAAGATCGAAATCAAATCTAATGAAAAAGTAAGCTGAATCCCTTGCTCACCATAAGTGCATCTTATTTCTATTCCAGGGACTATAGGAACAAATAATAATAAGGGATTTTTTTAACGTATATTGTATAGCCTTTCATCAATAAATCAAACAAAATGTTTCATATTTTGTTGAATTTCCTAATTCTTCCCTGGTACTGGTTATCAAAATACCTGTTACAAAATGACTAGGTTAGTTACTACTGTATGGTTTGCAAACCTACTCAAAGTTTAAAGTTAAGATGAAATATAATCATGATACAATTTAATATAAACATGTCAAGGTATCAAAAAGCATTGCATGAATCAGTAGTTTATGAGTATCCTTGATACTAACAATATTTCTGACCACAAAAATTATGTTTAAAAAGTTTATCCAAAACATATTTTAAATACAAAACATGAGTGAATTTTGCATATTGTTTAACTGTTTAATTTTTTGTCAAAGCTACTCGAGAGCTATCTGCACTAGTCATCCCTAACATCAGAGCAACAGACTAAAGGGATCGTAGCTAGTAAACGCCACCCACCATCAATTCTTGAGCTACTCCTTACCAACAAACAGTGGGATCAACCATCACATTATAATGCCTCAATGGCTAGAAGAGCAAGCATGTTCAGCAAGTGGTTGCGATGTAATGACCCACAGATTGTACATGCACCCTAACCACCAAGTCATGCTAGGCCTTTGCTGATTGAGCTAAAAGATTATCAGATGGCAGCACAAACTAAATCAAGTTATAGAATCTTTCCAGAACTCTGCTGACTTACTTTTATAATTGAATTCACTATTCCTATAACCTTTAAAAAATAACTGTGAACACAAAAAATTCTGCTACTTTTAACTACTAATTACATATGTTTAATAAATAAAGCAATTGCTTACAAAAAAGAATAGATGTTGAAAATTGTTAAAATAATGTTTTGAAAAATTTTTAAGAAGTTAAACCAAAGCATTTCATCTTCATTCTTTTTAGTGAATGAATATTTTACATTAAATAAATAACTGAGCTGTGTATGTGTTATCACTAAAATGTCAGACAGAAAAATGGTGGAGATTTCAATTAGGAATGGTTAGTAAAGGATTATGATTTCATTGTATGAAATACTTCCACACTGTTAATTTTTTATAAATTATTAGGCCACTTTATAAGTTATAAACTGTTAAGAAACATACTTTTAATGGTTAAATCCACCAAACAGTAATATTAATCTAATTCCACAAAATAATATTTACATTATCAAGGTGCTTTGTAGTTCAGTGAATCACAAGTTACTCTACAAATGAGAATATGTTTATAAGATTTTATTAGTAAGACATCTATATTACAACTGGACTTGCCCTCCCCCATTTCTCCAAGTCATCATTTTTGATTTAGTAACATACGTATTGATATGTGTGTGTGTGCTTGATGGTGAACAAAACCTATGATTATGCACAACATATTTTTAAATAAGTAAGTGATTAGGTGTATCCCATTACCAGATTACATTTGTATAGAACTTTACTATCAAATTTGCTACAATTCTACATAAAATGCACAAGATTAATAGCACACCCATAAACATTAGATATACTTAAGTTCAAGAAAAAAGGAAGAAGGGTGGCATAGTTCGAATGGTAAAGTGTGCACTGAAAACTTTACATACACATTTATATCACCTAAATAAACCTATCATTTAATGAATACTAATTTGCACTGTAAGTTACACAAGAGAAAACCAAGGAACACAAAAGAGCCTCAACATTCTTCAAATTTCAGAAAGACTTGTTAAAAAGGATGATTATGATTTTAGAATGTAAAGTGCATCTGCAGAATAAATACAAGCAACAACAGAATACATTTAAATGACATTTAAAGATTTCCTGTTTGTTTTCACTGAAGTATGTATATGTTTAAAAATGGTAAAACTTCAATGTTAAGTACAGATTCCATCCCTGATGAGCCTTTCTTTGTCTTAGATGTTGAATGGATTTGGCTTTTTTTTTTTTTTCTATACCGTTTTTCTTCTGCATGAGTTCTGTTTTGTTCCAAAATGATTAAAGGGTTTTCTTCAAAACAACTGATAATGATGCGTTTAATCTATTATCATATCTACTTCCTTTTTCAGCGACAAACAAAATTTTTTTACCTTTTCTTCACTTAGCATTCCTGGACAATCCCATTCTAGTGTACTGAAGGAAATGACCAAAACATCATCAGGTTGGGGGAGTTCTAAAGTATTAAAGTCATTATCAACCACGGAAGATGTACTGTCATCAACTACAACATCCTGTGATGTGGTTGAAATAGGTCCGACCTTTGCATTCTTCTTATGTACAGCAACTATAGTATAATTACACAGACTTGTTATAAAAAAGTAAATCTTTAAATGAATATTACAATCTCTAATAATGGATGATGGGGAATGTTTTTTTAAAGTCTTCAACTTTAACACTTAATGAAGAAAATTACAAGCCAAGAGTATACAAGCACTGTCAGTTCAAGTTCAGATATTGAAGTGTGTGAAAATAAAAAATTGCACCTCTTTTTCAAATTTTATATTTTTATTTATTTTTCTGTACTTTACAAAATTTTAGGTAATTTCTTAAAATTCAGAATACAGAATTGAAATATGATACATAGTAGAAAAATACATATTAAAAAAACAAAGATTAGTCTTTAGAAAATAGAACTTTACGAGCTTTTAACATTGCAGAATTTTTCCTCAATATGTCCACATTAATTTCTTTGGGTATTTCATTTTATATAGAAATTATTGCTACACCATTTAATCCCTCTTTTGTACCATTGTGAAATGCAAAAATGTTTATATCAACTTTAGCCTTAAAAATGATCTTTTGCCACTTGCCACACTAATAGGCACAATTAATAAAATTCTCAGAGCATTTGGAAGAATTTCTTTGTGTTCGTTTTCACATATATAAAATAAGACCTTATCTGGAGTTGAATTTTCCAATATTTGATGTGTTATTAAGTTAATAACACATCAGTAACACCTTAATAACACCTGCACACAAACTTTCACCACAAGTATCCCCTTTCTCTTTGCTTGTTAGTAAAGTTTCTAAATTTTTACAACTTTTGCACCCCTAATATTGTGTGTTGAGTTCTTTGAGCCTTTCCAACCTGCCTTGAGCCGGCACTATATACAAAAAATAAGGCACAGCATTCAATACTTGCAACACAAAATGTGAAAAAATTATAAATTTGTCAAAACTCTAATTTACTTGAGATAAATAGAATTATATATTTATTGATAGTATATCACAACAAAAGGCAACAAGCAGAATATACGATAAAAAAAAAACACTTAAAACTAAACTGGAAAAGAAAAATGAAAGATAAAAAAAATGTCAGCAAAGTTAATTATGGTGAAAAGTTGAGAAATTTAAGTAGAAAATATCCTATATAACTGCTAATCTTTCAGGTTGTTACATTCTTAAACACATTTTTTGTTCAGACATTTGCACAAACCTACACACAAGCTAGCTGCACAAAGCTGTTTCTAATTTTGAACTGATAGACTACAGGGAAGACAGATAGTCAATAGCACCCACTGCCAACTCTTGGGCTCCTCTTTTCTAAGTGAATAAAGGGATTTTGACAGTTACTGTTATAGTTTACAAACAGCCACAGTTTGGGGCTTCTTTTTTGCAACAATGGGTCATGAACCGTCAATCCTCAGATTCATAATCCAGGCACACTAATCACGAGTCGCATGCCAATAAAAAATTATATTAGTAAAATACCAAGATATTCTACACTTTGCAACACTGTAATTTTTTGTCATAGTTACACTTTTCTTATTCTTTGATTAGCATTCTGTTTCATAATGTGCCTTAAGTACATTTTTCTGATAACCTATGTAACTTAATACTTTAACCTACTTTTCTTTCACTAGAAAATGTAGTTGTTTTTTAATACTAAAGATTCAAAGTACTATATTTCTAACAACCATACAACTTACCTTTTCCCAACAAATTTCGTTTGGAAGTGGGAGGAGTACTTGTTGAACCTGACTGTAACTTTGATTGACTTACAGAAGAATTACTTGATGGCATTGCCTGTGGGAGGTTAGAAAGTAGTGTTCCTAATGTCTTTTTTAAGAATTCCTCTTCAGCTTCACTTTCAATGCACCTTAGAAATGCTATCTAATGTTGGTAATAAAAGAAATAATAATTACAAGAGTACACAAATAAGAACAGAATGCTGACAGGTTTGGTTATTTTTTTTTAAACACATCTAAATGAATTTCAAGACATATTATAATAATGATTTAACCTTCAAGTTACCAACTAGTTTGTATAATGTTAAGTACACTGTACAGATGGTATCTACACATCGCATCGCAGAAAGTAATTTTATGTTTTTTCCTGTTACAGCATGAAGTGTAAAGAATTGACCAAACACATGTGGTGAAATGACTCATTTTCTTTTCTATACAAGTAAAATGCATACAGGACTACAGTAACAGAAATTAATGGTATTTTTGTTTAACCATTTATCATCTCCATCCATATATTTATGCATGCTAGACACCATCTTCACCTGTAAATTTACACCAATTATGGTAATGGAAAAAAAAAACTCTTCCATGGATGATAAAGGGTTTATGATCATGTTATGAGGAACACTAACTACTAAAATCATGGTCCAAGAAGTAATTTTGGTACATAAATAGGTTAGGAAATATGTTTAAAAAACTAACCCAATTACTAATTCTAAGACTCGTACATTTTCTTTACTTAATATTCAAGATTTTCATTAAATTTTACATGTTTAGAACTAAAATGATATTCGAATATGAACTTACCTCTAAAATACTGAAAGCCTCTCTTGTCGAGTTTACACTTGTACTGTCAAAAAAACACGTGACTCAAAATTTCCAAATGTTTTTTTATACATCACTTACCTATAACGCTCTACTCTACCATGATTTATTGCAAAAGCATCACTAGATCTTCCTAAGCACTGCTTTCCTGTTATAATTTAGATTCTGTTGAAAGTTACAGTTCTGATAAAATCCTGGTTGTTGGGAGGTGGGATAGAAGGTATTTTAGGGGTAAGTATCTGTTTGAAACTCATTTCTATCATAAAATTCAAAACAGGTAATCCTACCTGTTAAACACTGAAAGTCAGAATACCCATACTTAAAAGGAGTTGGGAACCACTGAACATGAAAAAACACAGATAATTATAATACTAAAAGTTATGTGGCAGGAAGGTAATAATCTAGACCACAATAAAGATGTATCCAAACAGAGTTGAAGTAGAATCAACAGTCAGAAAAATAATTTGTAGAACTATATTTGAGAGAGAATGAATGGAGTAGACAGCCTTTTAGACAGACTGGACCTAAAGGACACTCAGAAGAAAATCATTCCTCTCAGCATGGTACCTCTTTGACCTTTAATTCAGAAAAAGAGGTCACTTTTCAGAGTGGTAATGGTGTATTATACATACAGAGCCAACAACCAGACATGAGTGGTGGCATAAAAAGGTAGGAAGAATACTACATCCTGTTCCTGAAGTGGAAGGTTCTCAGTGGAGTAGCTTAGTCATGTATCAGGAGTGGTTTTACTCCAGGAATTGTAGCCCCTTTTCATCCATATTGAAAAAAGCCAGTGAGACACACAACTGGCCAAAGTTGTGGACACTCATTGAGAACTGAAGAAAGATCCAAGCAGTTCCAAAGATAGGCTAAAAACTTTATGAAAGTGCAATGGGAACATAAAAAAAATATGAGAAAAACAGAGATGACCACTATCATGGTTGAAGCTGAGACATATAGTGGTAACAGTAGTCACATTTCTGTGACCTCTAATGCCATGCTTATGGAGGTTGGAAAAGTATCTACCGAGGAATAATGAACCACTAGATGGTACCCTTTGTCCACTTTCAGAGGGTAACACTCTTTCATGGAGCTTCAGCATCAAGGATGGAATTTTGACTGGGCTAAATGCAGAGGTATAGTGAAATGTGAGAGTCCCAACTGGATGAATCCATACACAGAACTTTGCATGTGGAGAGACCATAATATTAAAAAACGTTTTTACAAATATATATGTTAATTTCTCAGTCTCAGACACTTCTAGAATTGTGAACAGGGGTGTTAGGCAGTAAAGAAATACTAGGGGTTGTACAGGACAAATGCAGAGGTCAATTATGGTGGGAAAGCAGAGCTTATGTAAGATCCCCTGACAATTCTGCAATAAGTTATATGGAAAGTGGAAAAGTATGGGTCAGTGAAACATTCTCTGCAAAGCATTAAGGACATTCAGAAATATCGAATCACGTTTTGTTGACAGCAGGAGTGCAACCTTAACAGGGCTTTCAGTATTTCAGAGATTAGACTACCTGACCTGAAATAGTGAGAAGAGCACATTGCCTGAGTTTCAGTTGCCTTTAACATCTTTAATAAAATTCCAGTGTTGATCAATAAAAAAAATTACATGTACATATGAACATTACGTGTTGAAAAGCTCAGAATAACCAGAGGAAAAGATTTACATACTCTAATGTTCCAAACCCATTACTATGTATAATCAGATTTAAAATTAATAAAAATTAAAATGAATGAGTTACACTGCTCTGATATAATGACATTTACAACTTAAGTTCTGAAGTGTAAACTTAATTATAACAATTTTGTTTTCCTTTAAAATTTACTAACTTAGAAGTTATCTATATCTTTTCTTGAAAAGCTCTTACAGTACTGTCCAGTCCAGCCCCGTTTATCTAGTCAGCTGTAGGTCTAAGCAATTAATGGCCGCATAGCGTGGTGGCCATATTACCGGGTGTCACTGTATGGGGTCAATACTGGGATCAGATTAAAGGCACAGTACATACACCTACAACTTGCCCATAATACTCACCTGTTCCTGTTTAATATAGAATGTTGTAATAGCATCTTTACATATCTTGTCTAAAAAATAAAATTCTATACTGTATTTTTGATTAACAGATAAGTGCAAAATTTGGGAAGATGATGAGCTTCATGACGCTTCCTTGCACCACACAGTATCAGAGGCCAAGGCATGGCACTGTTGTTTATGTGCACATGTGGTGACACCTGGCAGTAATGATACTCAAATCATGAAACAACAAATTTCTGCCATTTTCGTCAATAGAACAGAGACAACTAATTTGGCTGAGAAAGCAGAGCTCTATTTATTGCAAAATGGAGGGAAAGGTGACAAAACTTGAAATGAATGTGCAAATTTTCCCCTTTGAACAAATCTTTTGTTCACAAGAAGACCAAAGAGACACCGAACTAGAAGTGTTACAAATGACAAAGTTTAAAGAAGTGTGAAAACATACTGTTTGTTTGATTGTGTGATCATCAGTGCAGCATGAGGTGTGAAGCATCAGGTAGGATTAGCATGTCATTAATAGGGAAAATGTGCCCGGCATGGCCAAATGGTTAGGGCTCTCGACTCGCAATCTGTAGGTCGCAGGTTTGAATCCCTGTCACACCAAGACATGCTCACCTGGTGTCCGGTCTAGGACGCCAGGCTTACTCCCGGATACACACCTCCAAATTCATTTGGAGGTGTAAGAAACACCATACGCAACTACTAATAAGGAACATCAATAGTTACATCGTTTGTAACACCTACAAGACGTGGCCGCTATCAGTCAATGTACAGTAGTGGCCACACTATGATTGAAAGATTTTATTTGGGCAGCAGCAGGTGAGAGCCAGCCTGGGTGGCCACAATACAGAGTTCAAAAAGACCATTTGGGACTGGGGGAAACATAACCGCAGATGTTTTCCCTTCTATTTTATGTTTGGGACTGAGCCAAAATGGCTGTAATTAATGGTTGACTGCTATATCGCATTGACTGGTATGCAGGTCTGGACTGTATTTTTAAGTATATACTAGACCACCATGACCCGTTGGGTCAACCACTATTCAGAAGTTATGAAGAATTCAAGCTAATTTCAATAATGCACTGAAATGAAGGTTTATTTTGAGATAATTTTATTAAATATTTCAATCCATTTGTGTTATTCGTAAATCAAGAAAAGATATTTGATTGTTGATCGGGAATAAAAGGAAAGACCATTTCATTTTTCAAGAAAGTGAAGTAAGAAGTTTTGTAAAGATCGTGAACAGTAGTGTGAATGATTTTTTGACTGTGAAAATAAGCAAACAAACAAACAATCTCAG